CTATGTTTATGTTTCGGGTCGCCCGTTGCTCGCGCTCGCTGCCGCGCTCGCCGTCCGCGCCGCGCTCCCCACCGGGCCTAGGTTTTTTTCCACCACGGTGTATCTCGCGCGTCGCTCCACCTCCCGCTCATCGATCGATTTTCTTAAATGCCTTCCGAGTCCGGCCTACCGTCTCCTGCATCCTCATTCGCTCAAACGTGTAAATTTATTACTCGATAACTATTGTTACTTTGTACCGCGGTACATGATATTTCTCCTTAGTTTAACCCAATCTACCACTATTTTCAAGTTGGCTACTTTTGCATCAGACACCCTGTATATTAATGTACTTTCTTAATAACAGATTACCTCAAAATTTGTAAAACTATATTCTAATATAGTTTTTGTAAAACTATATATTGTAAAACCATTTTGTAAAACTATATTGTAATATAATTTTACAAAATATATAAAACAAAATTTAACACTAAATTATATATTTACTATCTTGGATGATATTGTTAATTTTATCTAAATTATTATTTATTTATCTAAATTATTATTAGGTTTGTAAATATGAAACCGGAATTTGGTTATACTGTGGTATAACCAGTAGGGGCACTCTCTGTCGGCACCTTTGATCTGGGCGTTCTCACCACAGTATAACCAGTATGGGCACTCTCTGTCGGCACCTTTGATCTGGGCGTTCTCAATTTTCCGCCATGTTTTTATTCGCACCAACAGTGTATCAACGGCTAAAAGTGCTTGGGCCCTTTTCAGGATTGTATCCAGGAAAGGCGCATACGAACTAGCATACATTATTTATTGTAAATGGAAATGGCCTATGAAAAAAATGTTCTAATAAAAGGAGCAAGTAATTAATGTAATTACTTGCTCCAACGTATAAAAGTATTAACGCGTTATTCGTCAGCACTGCAAATTTTTCAATGGGTTTGTTTTCTGTTCCTGCACTGGTGAACTAGTGCAGTAAGCTAGAATGAGAAAAAATATGCTTGTCTTACTCCAATTTATTGCACTATAGTTCACTAGTGTAGGAACAGAAAACAAGCCTAATGTCACACCGACTTTGCACTAACACACGTACAAAAATCCTGTGATTGGTCATAACTAAAACATGTCGGATGCGCAGTACGGATCGGCGCGAACGTGAAACAAAAGAGCGAGTGCCCATACTGGTTATACCCCACGTAACAATTCGACATCTTTTAAACGTCTAAAGGACGTCCCGTTCGTCATGGACGGACATCCGTATGATGTGAGGAAGACGTCCAGTAGACATCTTTTGTACGTACAATGTACCGCCCAAAGACGTCTAGTAGACATCGTTCGTACATACAGTCTATCGCCCAAAGACGTCCAGTAGACATCGTCAGTACGAACATTGTACCGTCCAAAGATGTTGACGCGTCATTCTAACGACATTTATAGGACGTCTTTGGGTCCAATGGCTGCGTTTAGCAGAAAAAGCTGTTGCAATTGTTGTAACAATCCTCAATCTGATGCTCTAAGATTCAGCAGTTAAGAACATACACCAATCAGATTCATAAATTTTATAATTGTAAAACAGCTTTTTCTGCTAAACACAGCAAATGTATCCAATAAATGTTACACTCTTCCAGGATATACAATCGATTTAATGTAGACGTCAATTTTATACATATTTGTGTATATGTTTGTATAAAAAAATTTTATACAGGGTGAGCCATTTTAATCCATCCAGTCGAATATCTCGAAAACCAAGCCCGAGAGAGAAACATGTTTCAAACAAAAATTGTTTGGTTTCGAGAGGGCCATAAGATGGTACCATTGGTTTGACCTTGAAGAATTATTTGAAGGTCACATAAAGGTCACACCAATTTGTTTAAATGGCATCCTCTATTTTTATTACACATTCTTGTAGCTGACCTCGAGAGCTTTCCAAAACGCTATAATAAAGTA